CGGGCTCATCTGCAGACCTCCTTGCACAAGTCGCTGTGGCAGCGCTTCCGCATGGCTCACGCAGGAATGAATGAATGGCTGGGCGCTGCCTCTTGATTTATACTTCAGAAACTCGTTGGTCTGCCCTTTGCCATCGGCCCTTGGTGTTTACAGTCCCCCTGTGGTACTTGCTGGACCGGACTGGGACTGACTGGACCTTCCGTTGACTGACTGTGGACTCACCGCTATCCTACCGCCGTTGCACTGCTGTTGCACTGCGGTTTAGTCCACCACTTGCCTCACCACTTGACCACTTGCCCACTTGCCTACCTTCTAGAAGGTCTACACCTAAGCTTCCACAACTCACTAAGACTCCTACGCTATAGACCTACAGATCGAACCCCTGCTGTCTATGGACCTACGACAGGTCTACCAACTGCCTACAAATACACAGGTCACAGGTTCAATTCTCGGGGTCTACGCAGATACTGTACATGGGTAGGGTGAGGTCTAGGGATCGAACCCTGGGTACTGCATCCGCTACTGCTAAAAGGTGAAAACCGTTTCAATGGCGACTTCCAACGACTTCCCCAGGCCAACCGTCAATCACACCATCTGGGCCCACCAAACTGAGACTCACCCAGACAGACACGTGCACTTGCACACAGAGAGTCAAAACTCAACAAGTAAGCACGTCCATAGAAGATTGGTTGATCACAAACATATTCAGAAAACACAGCAAACAAACTCAGAATCAGCATCTTTAGCCAAAAGATCAACTTGACAATGGGACAGCATTTTCTCAGGAAAGTACAGAATTCTCAGACTGCAACTTTGTGGGTCATTACACGGTGCGCAAAACAAAAATTTATACTAAGAAGGTAACGGGTTCCCGAATAAAAAGACTCGACAGTTAGGGAAAAAGAAAGTGTCCAGTGGTATTCCCTCCTGGTTTCTTGCAAGTGGATGTCTCCTTGTGCTGTCAGGTTCTGCTTTTTCTTATTGTGAAAGAAGGGGCAAATGATCGGACAGTTCATTATGCTTTTTCTTTTTGGCTTTTTTTTGCTTGTCATTTTTTTCGGGCGAAGCTGTAACAGGTTGTCTAGTTTCATTTATTTCTCATGTGCAGCCATCGCTGCAAGTTTCCACTGTTTTAAGCACCGAGTGTCTGGTCCGTTGTGGGCTGCGACTTGCCCATTTTTTGACCTTCCAGTCTTGCAGTGCGGTGAGCCTAGGCTGTGTTATTGCTACATCGGAGGATCCCTATCAAGTGTTGTCATAAATTACGGTAAATATTTACTGTTACATTTTTATGTAAAATATCAGAGTGACAGTCCATCCTCCTACAATGGAGTAATCAATGCTGTTCAGAGTTGTCCGTCGGCCACGGACGGATGGAAGGGTCGAGTGTATTCACCAATGTATTGCTCTGGACTTGCCAGTGGAAAGGAGCCTGAGTGACGCTCCCCAGAATCGATAAGGAGCCTGGAACATGAGGACCTTTTTGAAAAATTTAAAGAATAGTGAGGTGAGTTGATACTGTTGTTGTGTGTGGGTGTGTGGATGTGTGCTTACAGCCACATCTTAGTGTTCCCCTGATTACTACTTTGTTATCAGCCAATCATGATATTTCATTGTTTGCTCCCTTGGCTCTGCTCTCACAGCATTCTGGCGCTGAATGCTTGGATGATCCATTATGGACTCAGCCTACAATTCTAGAATGCTGGTCAGTGTGGCAGGACTGATAGCTGTATGTGGTGGATGTGCTGGTACCTTGTTATTCTCTTTGATGTTGTAGTCTTCTCTTCTCGTTCTTTTCTGTTGTTTGTAACTACTTGTGCGCTTTGAATGAGCTAGGCTTCACTCACACAAGGACTTTCTGGACTATATCTGGGCGTTTGCGGTCTGGTACATCCATGAAAGCCTGCCCTAGCTCATGAGGATACTCATACAGAACTTCACCTGTGACAGTATGGATCGAAAAGTACACAATCGCATCTTGGCATTGGTTGCTCATTGTTGAGCTTTGTGTATGCTTGTTGTCTCAGTCGATGTGTATTTCCTAATGACCGGGATGTCATCTTGCTGTTTGCAGGCTCTTGGTCGTTCTCAGAGGGAGCTGCAGGGGTTCGAGGAGGCAGGCCATGACGAGTCTGACCCACAGGTCAAGCAGCTCAAGGATCATGTTGAGAAAGTTATGGAAATTCGGCTCTGCTACGAGTCACAGTTGAGGGTGCGTGGCCCCTCTTTCTCTGTTCTCTTCTCAGACCCATTCCTTGGTGTTGGGGTTTGTAAATGTTCTCTCTAGAGTCTCTACGTGTTTCATGCAAATATTCTTTGCCAGCAGTGCCAAACCAGGTAGCAAATTTCAGTTTGCTAGCATTGGTTTCTCGTACTTTCTACTGTTGAGTCCCAACACTTTTACGGTGAGCAGGTATGCTGGGTATGTGAGATATGTGGAAGAACATGTCAGGGTATCGTCTATGCCAGTATAGCACATACATAGCACCTGTGGGTTGTGGTCCTCGTTGTTATTCTTCCTTACCTAATCCTCAGTACTTTATGTGTTTATGTGGCCTGTGCCTATCAAACTTTACATGGAATCGGATGGTTTCACAGTCAGATGAAGACCTGATCCTCCTTTGTCAAACAGGCACACTTGGGGTGTGCCCTCCCTCTTTCTGAGGAAAAATGTGCCACAAACAGCGGTGATTTAACCAGAAGTGGAGAAGTGTATGCTGTGACTTCTCCAACAAGGTAGCTTGAGCTTTTAGAAACCCATTTTCTGTGTTTTTCATCTCTTCCTTGTTGTGGATTAGCCAGCTGCATGCAATGCTCCGTGGAATGGATCCTTTGGGTTTCAGTTCAGTTTTATTGTTGTTGTTTGTGTTTTATTGAATTGGGGAAAGCTTAAGTCTAGTCTTGTCGCTCAAGTGAAGTTGTATTGTTTGGTCTTTTTTTTTTGTGTGTGAGAGATGGATACTTAGATATTGGACTCGATGAGCAGTCTATGGATATGTGTCTGAAGCGTGTTGTCTTTGTGAATGTGCATATTTTTTCCACCTAACATCCAATGTTAATGTGCTCTTGGAGAGATTCCTATGGTGCTATCATTGTTATGGGAACATGATGGTCTCACAGTTTTGCCATTTTCTGTGTTTTTCATCTCTTCCTTGTTGTGGATTAGCCAGCTGCATGCAATGCTCCGTGGAATGGATCCTTTGGGTTTCAGTTCAGTTTTATTGTTGTTGTTTGTGTTTTGCTGAATTGGGGAAAGTTTAAGTCTAGTCTTGTCGCTCAAGTGAAGTTGTATTGCTTGGTCTTTTTTTTTGGTGAGAGATCGATACTTAGATATTGGACTCGATGAGCAGTCTCTGGATATGTGTCTCAAGCGTGTTGTCTTTGTGAATGTGCATATTTTTTCCACCTAACATCCAATGTTAATGTGCTCTTGGAGAGATTCCTATGGTGCCAGCATTGTTATGGGAACATGATGGTCTCACAGTTTTGCCCAAACAGAGTGATTTTTCAGTTTTGCACCCATGAAAATTGGCATGGCATGTAGGAGGTCAGTGTGGGTTCAATTTTGAGTTTTAAGGCAAGTTGGTGCAGATTTAAGGACTGTCAGCCAGTGTTGGGCCAGCAACCAGCCAGTTGGACTGGCCCAGATGCAACCGGGCCGGGTCGACCCGAGTCCTCCAACCGGAATTCCGGTTGGGCTCAAAACCGGTCAAAATCTTTTTCTATTTTTTTTTTTGTTGAAATGCAAGGAATGAAACCGTTTTCACCTTTTTGCAGTAGTAGATGCAGATCCCAGGGCTCGATCCCTAGACCTTGCCCTACCTGTGTACAGTACCTGTGTAGACCCCGAGAGTTGAACCTGTGACCTGTGTATTAGGTTAGCGAGTTCCAGAAGTCTTAGCTGTAGCCCTTCTAGAAGGTCAGCAATGGGCAAGTGGGCCAGTGGTGAGTCAAGTGGTGGACTAACTGCAGTGCAATTGCTGTACAACCTTGGTAGGTTAGCAGTGAGTCCCCATTCAGTCAGCGGTAAGGTCCAGTCAGTCCCAGTCCGGTCCAGCAAGTACCACAAGGGACTGTGAGCACCATGGGCCGATGGAACAGGGCAGACCAACGACTTTCAGAAGTATAAATCAAGAGGCAGCGCCCAGCCATTCATTCATTCCTGCGTGAGCCATGCGGAAGCGCTGCCACAGCGACTTGTGCAAGGAGGTCTGCAGTGAGCCCGGAGCTGAAGTGGGCGAGAGAGGAGCGTAGCATAGCGATAGGGTAGAGGCGGACATAGCCGCCATAGCTAGAGTTAGTGTGTGGTGAGTGTGTGTGTGTGTGTGAGTTCAGAGAGTCGCGTGTGGGATATCCAGGGTGATCTGGTGTATGTGAACAGTGAGTTGTTTGGGCGCTGAGTCGCCATAGCCAATTGAAAGTGAACTCGTATCTGGATGCCATTTCCCTGAGTTTTGAGTGGGCGCATGTCGCCAGTTTGCTGCGCTACTGTTTACATGCATGAAAAGTGTGAATGAAAGCGAGTCTGATTGCATTGGTATCGGAGCTGGTACCCGCTATTCCATGCGCGCCGTCGTGTGCAGGGCCTGATGCGCCATCGTTGAGGTGGCCGCCTGTGGCATACTGCGTAGCTGTTGCATACCGTAACGTGCAGACCAGAACAAGAACCGACCTCTCAATACAAAGTACAAGATAACACAGCGGAAGACTTAGATACGAATGATCCGAACAATCAATATTGCAATGCAGCTCTGAACACACATCATCATCATCGTTATCTGGTGTGAAGGGGGTCTGGCGCTTCACACAAGAGGACTGCACCAGCCCCAACCTTACACAGACGACGAAGGAGGGGTTAGACGAAAGAGGAGGGAAGATGGGAATGTCGTCAACACCAAGTCCCGGTACAGGCGCAAATAGTCCCTCGTCGAAATGTCTGAATCCCAATGTCCAGTCTGGATCCAATGTCGTCAAGTCTCAAGTCACGACTCTTTCTCTCGTTGTAGTCTGAGAAGTCAGGTGGCGAGAGGGTGAGGAGAGATGGTGGACTTAGAAGAGATAGAAGAAGAACTCTCTCTCTCTATCTCTGTCCAGTACTAACCTGTGAAGTTGGCGCCTTGATGCAGGTACCACGAAGATGGAGCTGGAGCGATGGCGTCACAGGTAAGTATCACTGGCCTCCGCCAGTATCTCTCCCACTCTACGATCTACCTCCTACCAGCGCCCAGCGCTGAAGACTACTCTATGGCTATGGGCGCCCAGCGCCGAAGACTACAGCTAGCGCTACTACTACTGCCTAGCGCTGAAGACTACTGCAGTGCTCCTCCTGAGTGCTGCGGCCGAATCCTGAAGACTGCCTACTGAAACTACCTACCCGTGAAGTGCCTGGGAAGTCCTATGTGCTACCACGGGTGTGCCTCCTGAGCCGTGCGAGCAGTTCAGGAGGCTGCTCTTGCCAATGCCGAAAGGAGGCAGGGGCTGCAGATGCAGCTCCTGCTCGAGCTCGTGAGGAACAGGCTATTTCTGGCCTGTTCCGCATCCCTGTTTACGTGCCTGAGTCTTAGGGGCAGGTCGAAACAATGAGGGCCTGAAAATGGCCCTCCGTTTCAGGCTGGAAAAACTCTGGGTCTGAAAGACCCAGAAATAGGCTGAAACGGAGTAGGGCCTGCAGGCCGTCGTTTTTCAGCTTTCAGGCTGAAACGACCGGGGCCTGTAAGCCCTAAGTTTTAGGCTTTTAGGCTGAATGTCCGGGACGGGCCCTGCAGGGCCCGTGTGGCTACGCAGTATGCCACCCCCCCCCCTCCTTGAAGAACCGAGCTCACCTGCGAGGGCGAAGCTGTCTGTCTGAGGGAGGGACCACAGTCCGGGTGGGAGGGGCTGGTTGTGAAGCTTGCTGAGCTAACCTCCGCCTTTCATAATGCGCGTAGATCAGCGGTGCGGATGCTTTCAAATCTGCGCCTAAAATCCACCGAGTGTCGTCGCAATCGCATGCTTTGAATGTGACTTTGTACTGTCGCGGCTTGCTGCCGTACTTGCGATCGGAGATGACGCGGTCAACTTCCTGATGACCATCCATAGAGGGAGGGTCCTGCGATCGTCGGCCCGGAAAGTCGTCGCTCTTGGCTGGCGTGTATGGTGCCAGCTTCGAGGTGTGGAAGACCGGATGGACCGTCAGATGCTCTGGAATGTTGATCACAAATGAAGGGCGATCGGGCTCATTGCCAGCGGCTGCTGTCACAGACCAAGGTCCAAACCACTTGGTAAGCAGTTTGCGTGAAACCTCTTGTTCCAGTGCAAAATCTTCTGTGGAGACTCAAACCAGATCACCGGCGCGAATGGGACATGGTACGCGACGCCTGTTGGCTTGCTGCTGCATGCGGACTTGAGCCTTTTGCATATTTGCGCGGGCTTGAGTCAGCAATTCCCTGTACTTCCGGACGGAAGCGGGAGAGCAGGCGGCGTCAATGTCGGCTGGTCGAGGGAGGAGAAGGTCGGCGAAGATAAGTCCTTTTCGTGCACCGTGGTGCAACTCGAATGGAGTCACGCCGATCGCCGGGTGCACCGAAGTGTTGTAGGCGAACTCGATGTCGGGGAGGCGGTGAACCCAATCTTTCTGGCCCGGACGGATGAGCGTACGAAGCATCATTTGAGCGGTTTCATGTGCCCGCTGCGTCTGCCCTCTGTCTGAGGATGCCGAGCCGAACTTGGTTTCATTGTTGTGTCGGACTCCTTCATGAGAGCAGTCCAAAATGCCGACATCAAACGAGTGTCGCGGTCGTTGACAATGTCTTTTGGTACACCGTGGCCACAAATCCAACCAATGTGTAGGAGGCGTGCCAGCTCGGCAGCCGTGGAGTAGTACTTGCAAGGGAGAAAACACGCGTACTTACTCAATCGGTCCACAACCGTAGGATGCCGTCGTGCGTGAGCCGGTCATGAGGAAACGGACCGGTGACGTCCATGGCAATGGAGAGACCGGGTTCCCGTAGGATAGGCATCGGGTGTAACTCGCCATAGGGATTGCGGTTGCGGGGTTTGTTGCATCGGCAAACTTCGCAAGAGTCGCAATACCGAGTGACATCGGTAATGAGGTCGGCCCATCGGAATCGCTGTCGAAGCCGTGCAATAGTGCGGTTGACTACGAAATGGCCAGCGAGTCGTGAATCATGATACTCGCCGAGGAGACGAGTCCGAAGACGACGGTCGCGTGGG